AATATTCGAAACGGTATTATTCTAGCAATCGTAGGATTTCTAAATCGCTTGAGCAATAAACCCTGGTTGGACCGCGTCGTACATTTGCAAAACCAATATATAGAATATTCAGTAGCCTGGTTCTTTTAGAGTAGGGATGTCGTTCAATACCGGTTTCTTTTTTCGAATGTCGATCTCGCTATATGAAAGTTTTAAAGTGGATTCTGTTTTAGAATAGGGTCATGGAACTTTAGTATAGTGAGGTTTCATGAATCTATTTTATATAACTTAACTTAAAAGAGAAAATATTTGTAACAATATAGAAATAGGTAGGTATATTTTTATGGGATATTAAACGATCAGACGGACCTGATGATAAGTAATCTGCGTCGCCCATGGACACCTGAATCGCCAGAGGCGTTACAAGTGGGTTACCGGCCTTTTGGGGATTTCGGGGATTAAGATTTTGAGGATTGATGGGGATTCACGGAATGGAGAGATTGGGGAATGGGGGGGGGGGTAATTGGACCTCCGGTAACCCCACTCACATGACGAAAGAGCACGCAAGCGTTGCTTTACGTCAGTTTTCTGTGAGGCCGTGGTTTCACTCCGGTCGAGCCGAAGTATGGTTGTCTCACACTTAAAGGATTTAATAATACCATTTTTATCCTTCTGCAGATAGTCTCAAGCCCCAAGTTGAATCAAAATATTTATAATTTCCGTATTTTCTCATGTCTAGTGCAAGAATATTCGCGTTTACCTACCATATCAGAAAATAACCCAACTTTGAATATTAAACATTAATTAATTTCAAAATTACGAGTCACCCTAGACTCGTTAGTTTATCAATAAAATTGTTACGGACGTCGGCTACATTCCGCCGCTGCACGTGTTATGCCATACGAGGGCTCTCACACATGCTAAATAATTATTTCCTAGGGCTGTTACAGTTGAATTACAATTTTTTTGTCTGATTCATCAGCTGCTTTTTTTATATTACTTGGTACTGACGTTTGACCACTATCTCGCCTGGTAGTAAGCGATGATGCGGTCTACGATGGAGCACGTCGACCCATAAGCTACCTATTCACTCGAGCCTTGAAGACACCCTTTAGGAACTCACAAGGAAGTGGAAGCTGGTGTTTCCATGTGAATCAGTGGTTTCTAACTAATTAATCAACTTCAAAAAAGAAGGAGGTTCTGAGTTTGACTTGTATGCATGTATGTTTGTATACGATTATCTCGCGATTGACTGAACTGATTTTGATGCGGTTTGTTGTTAGTTAGTGTTTGTAGAAGTGTTTATTACACTTAAGAGAACGTTTCAATATATTATTTAACTCGTCGAGTACCGGTTTTGCAGACACAATTATAGAACAATAGGTTGCGGTCACCGGTGACCGCTTGGTATTTGACAGTTTAACCGACTTCAAAAAAGAGGGTGGCGAAATCGGTTTTCTTAAACGAAGTTTATAAAAGAATTATTTATTAACTTAACTTTACATAATTTTAATATTATGTAACAGTATAGGCAGATATCTTAGTCTTTCTCATTATCACAGAATAACCAGAGGATATTTTTTAACAAACAAACTTCGCTCTTCCTTAGTAATCCTTCCATCGTACATTTTTGTTTACATTCCTCAAATTTGAATTTGCATTTTTGCATCTATACATGTATTAATCCCAAATATGCTAACCTTTACACAATACAATAATACACACGGCCGCTTGAATGTCCTCTACAATTTGTATAAAGAGCTTCCTAGAAATCTTATAAAAGAAAGATATAACATTTTTGTAACACAAATGATTTCTGACTACAGACCACAAAGTCCTCATTTCATTTCCGAAACGCCTTAAAGCAAATTAATCGTGACATTTGATGCTTCAACTTATTCCTTGCTCCTAACAAGAAATGGGAAATGAGCTCAAAATTAAATTTGGATTAATCTTTATCATTAAGATTTTAACAATTTAACCCATTTGGGACCAAATACAAACTACACATAATTTAATAAAAAAAACTTTATTAACTCAATGAAATGACGCACACAAACTAATATCAGCAAAAAAAAATCAAAAAATATATTTAGAAGTATTAAAAAAAATGCCGTCCTTGATTGGGGACAATGGGCTCATGTGTAGTACTTTTCGAAGTAGTAACTGTTTTCGACACATAAGGTTCTAACGCATTATTTGCATTGATATCACAGTTTTTT